GGGGGGGGGGGTGAGAAAAAGAGGGAGAACTGAAGCAGGCACTTGAACAGAAGGAGAGGGCAGAAAGGGTGGAAGCATATTTCCTGAGTGTGAGGGCTTCCCGGGTCGGGGTCTAGCTAGTTTCTTCCTGAAGCCTGGCCACAACCTGCATTGTGGTTCTGCCTGGAATGAGATTTCGTTGTATCTTTACAATAAATGCCTCCATTTTTAAACTGAGTGCTGGCGGGTTTCTGATATGGGACACACCCAAGACCCCGGGGAGCTCCCTCCTTCCCTTCACATGCCCCCTCTTCCAGGCTCTCAGGAGCCCTGCACTCCACCTCAGCACCCCCTGCAAAGGCACACAGGCCTGTGCCTTCTCCTCTGTATAAGCCACTCGTTCCCTGGTTGGAGTCCTCCCACTCCCCTGGGGCTTGGGAGGCCCTCTCTCTGGCTTTATCCCTTCTTTGAACACGGTGCCTGCACATGGCCCAACAACCTACAGTTTCTCTGATTGCACCCTCTTTTCAAAGGGTATTTAATTTGCCTGAGGGAGTTTCTCTTGCTTACCCAGGAAATGTGGGCCATTATGATAATCGACATCTGCTGGAATATTCTGCCAGCCTGGCCCTGGCTGTACACTTGATATACAATTTTTATCAGGAGTCAATGAGGAGAAGGGCTGCGGGGGTGGGAGGAGGGGTGGTGATGGGGAGGGAGGCCCTCTCTTCAATGGCACCTATACTCAGCTGCACCAGCAGGGCAGCCTTAGGTCCCTTCGCTTCAGTGACTTGCAAGAGGAACAAGTTTCTTTACAGTATTTACAGCGGTTCAGTGCTAGAAATGCAGAATGACAGTAAGGTATCCAGCCCTGGGGTTCTCAAAGGAGGACTCTCATTTTTAGAATCTTTATATTCATCATAGGCTATTTGCCTCTTGAAAAGTAAAGAAACCTCACCACCAACTTGGGGCCAGAAAAGCCAGGTTATAAGGATTGAAGGATGCAAGAAAATGAATGTCCAATTATAACAGCGAGCTGGGAGGATTTGCCCAGGCCTGACCTCGGCAGTACCGCGGCCTCATCACCGGTCGGTTCTCAGCAGTGCAAACTCGAGCTCACTTAGGAGCCCTCAACGTACAGCTAATAAAGCAATGCACTAAAAAGATTTAGTCAGCCAGCTAATTAATTCTGAGCAAAGACAAACCTGAGCGATTGAACTGAAGAAACAAATGCCAGGTGTTAAGAGACAACAAGACACACTAGCAGACTGCACATGTTAAGAACTTGAACCGAGATTGTTTTTTAACCACGGAGCAATTGCTCTTTGCTCTCCCCATCCTGCACTGTGCAGTCTGAACACAGCCCGTCTTCACAGCCACGCCTGAGAAGTCTAAAGGCCAGCCCCTGAGAACACTTTAGGATGTCTTCGGATTTCGCCACTCACCTTGGAAAGGTCCACCAGGGTGTTGGCTTGGTCGCTCAGCTTCCTCTGCTCCATCTTGACACTCCTCAGTCTGTGGGAAAGAGTTGCAATGGTCGTGGCCTCAAGTACATGCTAAGGTTCAGCCTCGCAAACACATGCCACATTCACGTCAGTTCCTCTGGTTTTGGAACCCAGCAAGGGAACCTCCAACAGAGGTGACAACTGACCAGAATCAAGGGCTTGTCAGGTCCCTAAGGAAGCAAATCCTTGTCTCCATGCATGCTTGCCTTTAGTCGCTTTGGTTTCCTCACTACTCCCAGGTCATTTTCCGGCGTCTGTGCCTTTATCTAGGCTGTGCTTTCCATTTTGAGTGCCCTAACCTGGGCCTTTCAGGGTTTCCCCAAAACCTCCAGGTCATCACTATGCTTTTAAAATACGTCTCTTACAGAAAGTGCTGACCGCAGTTTGTTCTGCTTCGAGGTGTAACGTGTGTGTGTGTGGACTGTGAGAGCCCTGAGGCTCTTACTCTAATTTTTACCTTCCATAGCAGCCTGCCCAATGTCTGGCCGTAAATAAACAGACTGATCTGGGTCCCATTTATTGCCCCTGGTGGTTACTGAGTGGAAGAGAATGGATTTCTCCTACCTCTAAGTGTACCAGGAGTTACTGGTAGAGCTGTGGGGGTCCCACCCCTCCTAATCTGGCAGTCTGATGGCCGAGCTTCCCCTGCATACTCACTGGTGGATAGCCTGGAGAAACTTCCTCTGGTGTTTCCTGACTTTGGCATGGTCAATCTTCTTTAGCAGCTTTGTGTGTTTATAGATGAGCCACGTTTCCCGAAGGACATTGGCTGCAGCATTCTTGATCTAAGGAAAAGTAAATAAAACAGGTTGCTATCTGGTTAATTTCCCTAGTTTCACATAAGATATTTTTCTGTTTGCTAATATAGTCTACCTTATAAGGAAATGATTCTGCAATGATGGAATTCCTTAATCAAATCATGAACTCTTAAAATGGATGATTAGAATTCCGTGCTTACTAATCCTGTATTGAGTGCGGTACACGGGAGCCTGAGGTTCAGGGGTGTTTCTTATTCTTTCTTAATTATGTCAGGACTGCCTCCGACTGCTGCTGCTGGCGCTCTGCTCAGACAGACTGCATTAACAAGCCCTGGGGGCCCGGGGCACCTTTTGAATAGATAAATATACACCACCGCTGCTCGTGCACACAGAGTTCCAGTTCTGGGACTTCCATGGTACATGGCCTGCGTTCAGAGAGTAAACAGATTTCCTATCAGCTGGAGATTTTTTAAGGCCTTTGAGGAAATGCCTCTCCCACCAAACGAAACTATAGGTGTCAACAAGTCCATTGTTTCCTTTCCCAAACGGCCAAACGCACTTACACTGCAATTTTACATGTAGCTATAATTGGCATTAAGCTGAAATCATTTAAAACAGGATCTGAAAATTGGTAGAGATATTTAGGTGTGAAAACAGAGCCATCTCTTCCCCTGGGCTGGCAGCAATCGCATGTTTCAATATATGACACTGTCATCTATTGACATGGAAACCACTGATATCACCCGGCCCAAGACTGAGCTGACACATGGCAATGGCATCCAGATGGCTGGGGACAAAGTTTTAGTCCAAACACAGACATCCTCAGCAATTAGTAGCAAGAGCAAGAGGAAACATTTCTTATTAAGCACAAGCTAAACAGATTTTTGGTTAACCGTTCCCATTTCTGTCAGCCATGTAAATTGGCACAGGCCCACAGACCCGGGCTGTGGAAGTACGTAGGCCAGCCTCGCAGAAATCAGGTTACTAGCCAGAAAAGATTTTAATAAAACTGGCAAGTACCGGCCCGCTTCTTCAGACTGACATCAACAGATGGGACGTTGTTAAAATACTGAGACATGTGGGAAGGCCTGGGAAACATTGTTTTGCAGGCTGATAACTTTCTTGTGTGTATGTTTTAAAAATTTATTACTAAGGCTGGATTACATTTTTCATTGGCGCAGAAATGATGTTTTTAAAAGAACAGCTAAGTCTTCTCAGAAATGTCTAAGTGACATAAATATTGCTTTGTTCATTCAGTAAAAATCCACTGTGACAGTGGTTTTAATGACTTAATTGCCCACCTCTGGTGATTTCTTGCTTGAAAGGAAGCAGGTAGAGGTGAGTATAAGCTGGAAATAGTGAGTGTCCAAGGAGGAGGGGAGGAGGAGGAAGGGTGGTCTCTGGGGTTCTGCCCAGGGCCTGGAGTGGACAGCGGCCAGCACGCACAGAAGGGACGCCCTTCTCTCTGCGTGGCGCACACTCCTGCTGTTTTATAGGGAGGTGATCTCCTCAGTCTCCCTGGGTGCTTAGCCCCCAAGGAGAGCCTCACAGAAAAGAGGCAGGGAAAAACCCCGCCCTGGCATTTAGGATGACCAGTGGTGCCCCAGCTCCAAGAGTCTTCGTTTTCGGATACAGTCAAGGAATGAAGGGGCTGATGGGCCTTCGACAATTGTCTGTGTCGGATTTGAAAAACCTGCAGGTGAATTCTTGTTCCAGCAGTTATTAAGCAGCTGAGGAGTAAATGCTTAATTATCTATAAGATTGGGAAAATAAATCTTTTCTTTAAGGGTTGATATAAGGCCCAAAGGAGGCGATAATGGTGCTGATGGTCTGACATCACCAGGCACAGGTCTGAGTACTTCATGTGTGTGAACTCAGTTCATTTTCACAACAACCCCATCAGGCAGGTACTAAACTACCCCCATTTTGTACATAATGAAACTGAGACTCAGACCAAGACCATAAAGTTCTAAACGGCAAACTGAGTCAAGATGGATTAAAGTGTTACATAAACTCTAAACATAGTGATATTAGTTACCATCTAGCTCCAACCCCCATGTAAAAGGAAACAGCTCCGGAGATAAGATGTGAGGGCCAGAATCACACAGCTAGCTAATGACAAAGTCCAAACGAGAGCCAGGTCCAAGAAGAGCATAAGGTTTTCATGTGGTCTGAAGAAAGACCTGACTAGATTTTATCTCTACACAAACAAAATTATTTCCTGTTTTCCAGGACCAAGGAATTGGAAAAGACATTAGAAAAATTTTTAATCATCTTGGCCTTCACTTAGCAATATGACAGAACAGGGAGTCCATGTCCTACACTTAATTTCAGCCCAAATGTAAGGTACTGAAATCACAGTGCAGCCTGGGCAGCTGAGAGAAGCAGTCGCCTCATCTTTATGGGTTTGAACAGGAGGCCCCTGTGTATTTGGGAAACCGATATGAAAAGCAAGCCTTGGTGCTGGCTCTGAAATTAATTGCCAGCAAACAGTCTGGCACAAAGCTAAGTAGATCAATATCTGCAAGAGAAAAAGAAATAGGCTTTTAACTGCCCTGTGCTTTCCCAGGTTGACAGTAACTGCTACTGCGACCAAGGTCTCCTTCAATCCTGCTGGTTGATGAGCATTGTTAGGATGGGGAGCAGCTGAGGTGGGGTGCTTTTCCTGAGATTCGCCAAGTCCCTGATGGGGGCTTGGGTGCCCTCTGAGCTCTCCTGGTGGATGGGGGCACCAGGGCCAAAAGATTCTCCTGGGGGTGGCATGGATCAGGGCACTGGGAAAACCTGAGCAAGGCTGGTCCAATCAGATGGGGTCAGGGATGGTCAGAAGAGGGCCTTTGTGCGTGGAAGGCTGGCTGTTCTGTTCCCTGAACCCATAAGCCTAAGAGCTGCCTGTTTTCTCTCTATATGTTCTCTACCAAAAAATGTATGCTTTCATTCTGATGAATGCCAGAGAATGGGCTCAGTGACCTACATACTTTAGGAAGGGCTCTAAGACTAGTGGAGTTGAGCAAGGAAGTCATCCCAAAAAATCCTGCAAGCAATAGTGACAGCTAACATTAACTGAGCACTTACTGTGTGCCAGGCTCTGTGCTAAACGCTCTGTGTTTACAGTGTTTGCTTAGCCCTCAGAAAACCTCACAAGTCAATGCCATCATTATCTCCTCCTTGGACCTGTTACTAAACCTCTCTGAGACTCAGTTTTCTCATTCATTCCTTCAAAAAACATTTACGAAGCCCGGACAATGAGGCAGGTGCTGCTCTAGGAAGCGAGGAAACCCACACGCAAAAACTGGTAACATTCAAGCCCTCGAGGAGTTTGTAATCTTGTGGAGACTGTAGGCAGCTTGTGATATGGTATCAGGTGATACACGCTTCGAAAGAAAAATACAGCAGAGAGACACCTAGAGAGGATGCACATGCCATAGATCTGGAAAATGGGATCGTAGTGTTGATTAAGTGAGAATACACTTCAAACACTGAGCACAGAGCCTGGCCACAGTGCTCTTCAGTACATGGTAGCTCCATTAATACCGCCCCCCAAGTAAATGGCAGTGTCTTTCTCTTCCCTCCTTCCTAACAAAAGAGAGCATTAAACAAAACACATAGGTCTATTCCTTGAGCTCTTGGCCATAGCATTCAAGTCAATGGCTTGCTCTGGCCACCTCTCTGCCAGGGTAATGTGCCACTCGGTATCACAGAGGGACTGTCGGTTGCAGGAGGAACGAGACAGGATGGGAGAGGCACCCTTGTTGGACTCCTGATGTCTCCAGAAGCCACAGGGAGACCTGGAAGAATAAGCCAGGAGCCCCACTGGGAGGCATCGTTGGCATGCCCGCTACGCTGCCAGGAACCCTGCCCAGGGAAAGGGTGGGCACCAGGAGGCCGGAGAAGGGGGCAGGAGGAGGGAAAGGGAAGCTGCAGGTGAATCGTGACTTAACTTTAAGGAGTTGCACAGGTTGCATTTAGATTAACTGAGAGCTGATGAACATCATAATCCGAGCACCTAACGCCAGCTCCATCTTCAGACACTTGACCGAAGGTGTCCATTGGACATACGGCCATGCTGACTTCCTGCAGCTGTCATCTCTTTCATCTCCCTACCTATTCCCTCTCTCTCCTTCCTTCCCCATCCTATTCTACACCCCCTTCTCCGTCCATCTCACCTGGAAGCCACCCCTGAACTGGGGCTCCACCCCCATGCTGGCAAGAAATTGGGGCAGGGAGCGAGAAGAGACGTATTTCTGTGGTTCAAAGTTGGAGCTTGAAGCTCTTTCCCCATAGCAGTATGGCAATGAATGGTGAGTATTTCTATAATATCACTCATGCTCAGTGAGTCTGCAGGTAAACTGGCTTTTCTCTCCAGCAGGCCCGGAACCCTAACAGCCTTGCTGAGTTTCAAGGAACTGACTGCTCTGGAAAATCCACTGGGTGATGGCTGGAAAGCTGCCTGCAGGCCCGAGAACAAACTGCAGGCCTGGCCAGGATCCAGCTAACTGTGCATGGCTGGCCACCCTCACCCCTCACCGGGCCGAGGCACATTCCCAAGGATCCTCCCAGCTCAGAAGCTCAGTTTCTATGACTACTGTCCCAACCTGTCTGGCACAGAATCCTTGTGGGTAATAGAATTTACAATCCCCTTCTGGGTGGAATTAGCATTCCTGATAACTGCTCGATTTATTATCTGATAAATTTTAAAGAGATTAAGACCTGTTCTGGGAATCCACTCTAGGGACCAACCAGTTGTCAGCCACAAATCTAGTACTGGATCCTTTTACCAGACATTCTGCACCTGGTACAACAATGACTTGCCTTTTCTTATAAAATACCCTACTGTGAGTAAATCTCTGAATTAGTCTGCTGGAAAATTTTTTTTTGCTTTTTCCAACAAGACTGCGATAAAACTTTGACATATGCTCATAATTTTCTTTAGCACTGTTCAGTAGGCACAGAGGGATTGCTAGAGGTTTCTGAGCAGGTTGCTATGTTCAGAGCTGAGTCTTAGAGTCTAAGGAGATCCACGGGAAGCAAAGTGGAGGACTGGGTTAGAGCAGAAAAGATAGCAAGCAGCTGTGATGGTGCAAGATTGAGGTGATACTGGCTTTAGGTACCGTGGGCGGAGGGCCAGGAGAGGCCAGCGTGCAGGAACAGCCACGGCATGGCGAGGTCAAATCAGGCTCAGAAACTGCTCATACCCCTGTGGGTCCAGATGGCGCTGAGTTTTCAGGCATGGAGAACAGTGAAGTCATTAGCTGACCAGGGACATCAGGAGAAGGAACTAATTTAGGGAAGATTTGGGTTTGGTTTCATGGCGAAATGTACTTGCATGAAGTATTTGGAGCAAGAACCCCTTGTGGCAAGGATAAAGGACACGATTCTCAGCCAGTGGCACACAGCGGGGTGCCATCTAAAAGGTCAGACGTGAAGAGTAGGTGGGGCAAACAGAGCATGTCCTGCCTCTTAAGCCAAGTGTGTCCCTGGGCAGCCTATCTTGACTTTAGAAAGAAGAGGTGCTTTCTGAGGGCAGGCAGTAAGGACAAGGGCAGGGACCATCTCTCACCCATCTTGATGTCCCCAGAACACAAAGCGTGGCATCCAGCAGGTGACCCTGTGATGGATGTGTTCAGTTACATAAAACAGAGAGATGGGGACATGTAGCGTTGCGTGGTAGAAAAGATGGGGAGCTAGTCTCTCAGTGTGTCGTTTACATACATATTATCTCATGGCCTAGAGGTTAGCAATAAATTATAATTTCAGAATCACAACAGCAGTAACACTGCAAAGTCAGTGTGAGAAGATCCGATGGCATTAAACACAGACGTGATGTTGCCATCAGGGTTGACAAGTTATACAAGTGAAGGAAGAAAAGCCATGGGATTCAGGAAAAGCAGAAACTGAATTCTTACCCTGTGCTACCAGACATCCCCACCCCCACCAAAAAATACATAAAAATTGTCTGACTCTAAAGGAAAGGACAGGGTGATTAAACACTAGAACAATCTGACTATTTTCATGATGCATAGGCTATGGTTCCTCTTTTTGTTTTTTGTTTAGGTGTTTGAAGAATGAAGGTTGCATGCACTTGTAACAGATTGCTTTTAACTGTGAAATTGAATTATCCACTCCTGAGAGGTTTGGAATCATGTCACAACCGGTTCCTCCCACGACTGGATCTTTCTCTGAGATCTAATGAATAGACTGAGCCTAGCATCGCATTGACCCATGAGCCACTCCCGCCGGACATGCTGGGCCCTTTGGAGAGGACAGAGGGTGGCCGAGGCATCCCCAGGGGGAAAAAGTGGGCTTCTCTGAGCAGGCCAAGCTCGCAGCCAGTTTCCTTCAACCAAGGTTATGCCACAGAACCTTCGGGAGTCTCAGTCCCCCCAGCTTTGAAAATCCTCTCTCTGTCGGAACCACCCCTTTTGTGTTGTCTGGTTCTCTGGGAAAACATACTAGACACTAAAGGGACATTTCAACAGATTAAGTGTTCTCAGAAGAGTGAGATGTTACTCGATTAAAATGGTGCCTTGCCCTCACGAATGGGCAATAAATATCTGTTGATTTGATTTTCAGTCCTACTTTTCAAGGAGAAGTGGACTGACTTAAGGAGGATTTTAGAGAATTATTTCCCAAAGATTGAAATTAGCAGCCAGTCTCATCTCCTCTGCAACTGTATTGCAGAAAACTTGTTTATCTCCCTGTCATGCGAGGGAGCCGGCTTTCCTCGGCTTTATTTTCCTCCAGAGTCTGATTTACGGAGAGAAACAGGGAGAGAACAAAGGAAGGGAATAGCACGGAATACAAAGCATAGCCTAGGTTTCAAAAAGCAAACTGTGGGGTGAGACCCCTAATGCCTCACAGGTGCTGAGAAGGTTTTAGAGGCAAAATTCGTTTGCCTTCACTCCTGCACGAAATCGTTTCAGGGAAGTAGCTGCAAGTATATTTGCATCGAGGTGTTCCAGTCACTTCTCTGATTTGCTCAGTACCAGGCATAACTTTGCACATGTATCCCGGGCTGTGCGAGAGCAGCTGGGTTGCAGGGCTGTGGGTGAAACCCGACCGGCCTACCCCTGGGTACAATTCTGCCATCTTCATGTTACGAGTTACGTTTTCTTTTGTGCAACGGACAGCTCAGGTCCACCATGTACCATACACAGCAAGTCCTCACCTAATGTTGCCGACAGGTTCTTGGAAATGTGACGAAACGACGTGTAACAAAATCAAGTTCACCTTCGACTAACGTAAACAAGAATTAGGTTCCCACGGCATTGCATCAACGATATAACAAAACATCGTTATTTGGGGACCTGCTGTACAACCATCTGTATGTCAACAACATAACATTCGCCTGTCCCCGTTCCTTTTCACATCTGTGGAGGCCCTTAGAGAATCCGATACATGTAATCAAGGACCAAACAATCACGCGCCATAAATAATTCTGCGGAGAAACCCGAGAGGCCTCGGCAGCAGCGCGCTCGCCCCTGCCTTCCCCAGGAGCTCGCTCCGCTCTGCCTTCTCTGTCTTTCTGTTTCCTTGCTGCCTTTGTCTCTATTTCTAAGACATTCTTCCTGTGCTGCAACATTGGTCACTCACTACTCTTTCTAGCTTTCAAAAACCTCAGTCAGAATTTGGTCACTTACGGGCCTTCTACCCCCCCTTAGTCCTAAAGGAGAAGCACTTGCTACGGCGGCCAAGGCCCCAGCCCGGAGTTTGGATTCTCGCTCATCTCAGAAAGAGGAGATTTCGCAGGAAATCCTATTACTGACCTGCGCTCAGCCTGCAGCTCTGAAGAATGTTCCATAAGAGCTGTCACGAAATAAACAGCTCCTGCCTGCTTGTTTCTGTCTCTTCTAAATGTGCCTTTTTCCCCCTGACAGTTCAGTGGGGTGTCGGGCTCTGCGCAGCTAAATGCTCTCCCCATTCCTGCCTGATTTCAGTTCCCATCCTTCTAAACCACCTTCATAAGGGTGCAAGTGAGAAACATTAGCCAGAAAACCCAAAAGGGGAGCGCTGGATAATGGCATTATTCAGGAATGTGAGCGCTGCAGCAGTGATTGTCTTTAATGGATTTTTTTTTAAAGGACTGGATTTAGATACAGTCCCAATATTGCTTTTAAGACTCTCTACTGCCCTTCCTAATGAGAATCATGAAAAAATCTGAGCATAAACAAAACCATTGCCTCATGCTGGGTGATTTATTTAATTACCATCAGTCAAGGGAGTGGGTTACACCACAGTATGTGTTAGATTTAGGTACCAGGGAAATGATTTGGTTGCCTGAACCATGCACAGTCATTTAACAGAAGGCAGGACCTGGAGTGTTGAGGCATTTGCCCATTTTGTGGAGGCTGTTGGCAGGTGTCTGGGTTCCCTCCACCCTCCACTGCAAGCCACAGCCCTAATCTACACCACGCGACTACTTCCTTTCCGATTGGCCTCCACGTTGGTCTGAAGAACCCCATTAAGCTGTGAACAGTGGTATTTTACCCGTTTGGTGAGCTGAGTGTCCATCATGAAGTTGTGAACGTGCTTCTCCGCTTTGGTGAGTTCCAGCTTTCGGGCCACCACGGCCACCACGAGGGCAGTGCAGCCTGCACCCTGTTTGGGGACAGCAAGGGGACCAGGGGAGAGAGCACATCATTACGAGGCAAGGCTCAGGTGGACCACTGTGGGATTCCTGGGAGTGGAGTCGGGAGGGGGGACTTGAGCTCTCTGGCTGGTCAAAGCCACCAAACCTGTCTGGGCCCTGATTCCTGCTCCCATGCAAAGGTCTGCAACGCTCTTGGTTGAGCTGCAGAGCTGACCTCTGGGAGACTGAGTCTTCAGAGAACTTGCCAGCTCTTAATGGAGCAGGACTTCAAATGTGGCTGAAGCTTTGGGGAATTTAAAGCAATGTACAATCATCTGGTCACCTGCCAGGCTGTGCAGGGAATACAGAGGGTCTGGCACACTCAGGCCCTCTCTCCCTGCCAGTCCCAGGCCAGCGGGCCCAGGAGGACAGAAGGCCACACATATGCTGGAGAAGGGCTGGAGCACCTGCTGGTGGTGAAGCGTTTTCCTGAAAATAATCTAATAAGGAGGCAACGCATTTCCCAGGGAACACGGGTTGGCCTGAGTCTGTTCATTTGACTGCTTGCTCCTCAGTTGGGTCTTTTCACCGAAAAGCCCAGGCTGTGACTCAGCACAAGGAAGCCATTCTTTCTTGCTTTCACCAGGAGGCTCATGAATTCAAGGTCATGGAGAGATTTTTAAAGATGACAGCAATCTTTCCTCAAACCAGGATTTTAAGGGAAGCCACAGGGGGCCTGAGTATTTCCCAGAGCATCTTTCCTATTCTGCCTGGGTAGGTCCATTCCAGGGGGTAAGAGGAGAGGGTGAGTAACTGAAGCAGGGTTCCCCAGGACTTGAGCTCTCTCTCCTAATCCTCTGGGTGCATGCTTGACTGTCTGGGAAATGAGCGGCAGAAAGAGGGACATGGCTCATTCCAACATTTTCCTGCTGGATTTTCAAGTCCCCTCCACTGGGCTTCTTGGGGGAAGTGAGAGACTCGCTCCTCCCCTGAAGTCAGCCTTGCCCCTGCCTGGTTCTTGGAAGAGAGCACGCTGTCCTCAGAGGCCGTCACCCTCTTTCTGCGCACTGCGCCCGGGACCGCCCTGACCTCCACTCCTGGGAAGAGATGATAAGCTCCCCAAAGTCAACAGTCTAATCCTCAGTGGCAGCAACAGAGTTGCCACAGAGCCTAGTTCAGCAGTTGAGGTTCCAGGACAGAAGGACTCAATCAATAACCTTTTTAGCTCATCAGGGCTAACAGAATGTGTTGGAAATGGTGACAAATGTTCTCAAAGGTGCCTTATCTGTCCCAGAGCCGGGAGGAATGGATACAGATAGATCAGTGCCCTACTGTTTCCTTTATAATCTTTCTTTCCTTTTCTAAAGGTTGGCAAAGGCCAGCCTGGGTAAGGTCTTGGCATGGCTGAAGCTGGCAACGCTTTCCCTTAGCTTTTCACAACGGTTCCCATGAAAATAATCTCATGTTTCTTGGTACATTTGGTCAGCCACCCATTTCTTTTCTTTTTTTTTTTTTTGCCACCCATTTATAGCATAACAAATCGAACCTTTCTTTTCTGACCTCAATTTCCTCTCTTGTTCAGGGACGGCCGTGTTTTCTTGGCATCTGTGACTTGCAAGAGAATCTGTGCCCAATTTTCAAAGGATATGTATGGGCAGTTGGAAAGCCTGGTCTGTAGCTGTAATCAATTTAGCCAGGCCTCCAAAAGCAAAAAATAGCTTAAAAGAAGCTGTCCGAGAGGGCAGATGTGAGCTCCATTCTGCTCAACCAGATCAAGTATAATCACTATCCTTTATATGGAGCTCCAAAGGTACTTTGGACTGGAAGCCCAAAAAGAGGGATATATCATAGCAGTAAAAATGGAACATCAGATGGAGAGGGTTCTCCCAGGCTCCATTCTCCCTCCTCTCCCTGGGTCCAGGCAAAGCTCTATTTAAATCACCCCTGAAACCTGGGGGCAGAATAAACCTGAAGAAGGAGTTGCCCTGCTCACCATGCCACTCAGGGAATTTCTTCAAAACAATCTCTCATCCACCTTCCCGAATTTCCAGGGTCAGGATAAAGTGCTCCGTGGTCTTGCCACGTCTCACAGTACAGCATTTTGAATGCAGGGAGCTTCTAATTAGAAGCTAGAGTGTTTTAACGAAGGAAGTCTCTATCATATATGGTTAAGATAAACTTCTGCATGGAGGCAAGAGGGTGGGCTAGATGGCGTTTCCCAGTTTCTTTCTAATTAAAAATGTCAAGACTCCCTTGCAGATATCTCTCTGGAGGATACTAGGCTCTTACCCCTTATTCTAACTTGAATCAAGAGCAGTGGATATTCCCAACTTTATTTTTCTTTCAGAAAATCCATCATCTGAATGTAATTAGGGGAGTCGCCAACAAGGAAGCTTAACTTGATCATTTCCATTAAGAGGCGACCTTGTAAAGATGGGGTCAGAAATCTGCAACCTTCAGAAAGTGGTGGGTAGAGTGCTAAAATCCAGACTGTGGTCCTCCCCAGAGTGAGTGTGCGTGTGTGTGTGTGTGTGTGTGTGTGTGTGTGAGAGAGAGAGACAGACAGACAGACAGACAGACAGACAGACAGAGGGAGGGAGAGAGGGAGGGAAAGAAAGAGGGAAAGAGGGAAAGAGGGAAAGAGGGAAAGAGGGAAAGAGGGAAAGAGGGAAAGAGGGAAAGAGGGAAAGAGGGAAAGAGGGAAGGGAAGGGAAGGGAAGGGAAGGGAAGGGAAGGGAAGGGAAGGGAAGGGTGCGGATGCAGAGAGAGAGAGACCTAGAGTGGTGACTGAGACAGGGAACAAATTGTGCTCCATCTTAAACAGCATGAGACAGAACAGGGAAAGAGGAAAGGATGGGCCAATGGAATTGAGAGGAAGGCCAGAAGAACGAGGAGCCAAACTTTTGACTTGAGTCAAAAGTTAAAGGTCAACTTTGACTCTCTAGAGGAAATAAAGGAAGTGTTATGGGATCCCCCTCCCTCCTGTTGCGCTCACCTCTAAATGGTATAATGATCACCTATGTTCCTTTTGGGATCATGAGCCTTTTTACTTTACAGCTTATGAGTCTGATGTTCCCATGGTGGCAGCCTGGGAATACTTGTGGGATGTGGCAGTGATGTGGGTTGGTTTTAAGAGACAAATTGCCAAGGACTTGGCTGATTTGGGAGTTTGAGGGTGCATGCTGTCCTAGCGTGGAATCTCAAGCATAGCTGGTGGACAGAGGGGGCATGTCAGGGAAGGATGGACTGGGGCAGACAGAAAAGGGCCAGCATCTGCTGGTATGACTTCCACGGGGTCAGAGTGTGAAGATAATTCATGACTCAGACTTTTGCCTTCAGATGTGCCAAACCCTGAATCACAGTTGACACAACTTGGATCCCCTGGGTCTTCTGTATCCAACTCTTATTTCCACAGAAGGGTGGTAAGAGGAGGTAGGATCCACCTCTGATGAGATCATACTGTCCAAGGTACATGGTGAACAGGAGCACAGGAGTGAGCAGAGAAAGAGTAGCTGGCATGGGGTGAACAGGCCTAACTCATCTATAGGTTTGGACCCAAATCAGAGACCCAGGCTCCTCCACACTGCTCCTCCCACTTCTTGTTTCCAAGACACATTTTCCAGCTGGAAAACCTTAGAATTTGGAAAAACAAGTACCCCAAGGGGAAAAGTATGAGGTGTTCTTAACTAAAGGAGCATAAAATAAAATAAAACATAAATGAAAGTGACAAATGGAGGAGGGAAGCCTGGAGGATTTACAGTTGGATTCTATTTCTGCAACAGATTCCATGTAACAACTAAAATAACATCAATTGGTTTGAAACCAAGGTGTTTTAGGGAGAAGCTCATCTTCTAAAACTGACATTAAGCAGATGTCTTGCTGAGCCCTCTTTTTCCCTCCTCCCAAAATGACTCAATTTGTTCTACCTTTTACTTCCATCACTTTCTTTTTGCAGTTCAAAGGAGCATCTATCATGAAGCCTTGGGGAAAAGCTGTGTCCCCAGCAGACATCCTGGAAGCTTTTGTCTATTTGTCCATAACTTATGAAAGGTCCACAGAGTGAGTCCAGTTTTAGAAAATGGCTCTATTGAAACAGGGCTCTTACCAAGCAGTCTTGGGGGCCCCAGAGGTCTTCCAGTTGCCTGCACAACCAGAAAGCCTCCAAAGGCATCTCTGTAAGGTTTGTTGTCATTTCCAATTCTGGATACTAGGTATTGAGAGCTTTCTCCCTGCATTGTAACTATCATCATAAAATTCTTGGTGGAAAGTCGCTGGACTTTGATATATCTGCTTTTGCTGCTGAAGTGTCTCAGACACACCAGGTCTGTGGCAACAATGTCAAGTTGTTCAGACAATTATATACCCCGCTTAATGGTTGATAATTACACCGTTACTGGGATTGCCAAGAGAAAACAATGATTAAGACTATTTACAGGCTGCACACACAAATCTTTCCTTTCCCTTCCCGAGCAGGTCTTGTCTTGGCCTGCATGGTGTCCATGGTAACCAAACAGGAAGCCGTACCTTTAGTTAAGGCACTTGCAGTAATAATCGGGAGATGTACACAGTGCTGGGAGGCTGGGGAGGGGGTGAATGGATTTCCAGCAACCAGAAAACCTCGAAAGGAGTGACTCAGCTAGAAAAGTCACATTTGTTAGAAAAATGCCACTGGGGCTCCACATTGTGGCTGACCCCAGAGTGAGGCAACTGACTTTAATTTGGGCAAAAACACTGAGGTGAATGGAGGAGACCTCCCTGTTCCTGTGTAGAGAGAGGAATAGGTTCATGCAGCAGGGTTCATGCAAGAGGAGAAGATGGAAGTTGCGTTGTATCTTTAATACAGGAGGTGGTATCGGTTCCTCCTCAGGTTTGTTCTTCCTGCTTTGATCACAACTCTCTCGACGGGAACAAACACTCCCTTCCAAGGAGCTGCAGCAGAACAGGAGCAAAAATGGGTGCTGAAGACCACCCTCCAAGGAGAAGGCAGGGAGGGGGCCAAGGGGGCCCAGCTGCCCCGTTCAGCTTCGTCAGAGTAGAAGCCAGGAGATGCCTGCCAGAGGGAAGGAATCAGGACGTGGTGGCCAGGGGCTGCTTCTTGGATGGGGCACAGCTCCTTGCTGAGAGGGAGAATGGCTGGTATTTAAAAATAACTGAGACTCCCAGCGGGGCCCATCCACCTAGCAGCCACCCACCCCGCCCCCTGCCTGCCTGCTCTGTGCCCACCCTGGCTCGGCGCTGCTTCTGAGGCACGAAGCCCACACCCAGGAGCGGCTCTAAGACAGGAAAGCTCTGGCCTTCGGGTGGCATTTCATTTCTTTCTGAAAGAAAGAACCGTTCCCTGGTTTCCTGGTGACAGCTGGAGCCCTGCCAGACAGACTCCTACTAACCAATGGGAGGTGTTTGCTCCAAGGCCTTACACTCACCCATGATTTATCCCAAACCCGCGCTAAACCTTTTGTCATTAACTGCTGTTCGGGAGGACCTGCCTGGAGCGTGCACCTGCCCGGGTTTCAGTGGAAAAGGAGAGAGGGCTGTGCCCAGCGGCGCAACGGCAGCACTGGGCCCCTCCTGCTCACAGGCCCACTGCCCAGCCTCTGCTCTAGGCCCGGCTGCCTTGCCACCAGATCAGTCCCAGGAGGCCACCAGGCTGCGGTGGGGTGGGAGTGGGGCAGCCCCCACCCCTGGTGAGGAGTTAATCTCCTTTCTACTGCAGGAAAAAGTCCTTTTCATTTCTCAGGGAGGGTGGGGTTTCCTCCTGGGAGAATGAATGGAAGCTGAGGGGGCACCGAAAGGAAGGGTCTCCAGGGAGCCTGACGGGGCTGCAGAGAAGGCCCCCCTGGGGAGGGCTGTGGCACCCACCCGTGGAGACCTAGGACAAGCTACAGGCATCTGCGCCCCCTCGTACCACGCCCTCCCCAACGATGCCCAGGCTTAGACGGGAGCTTCCTTCTCTGGAGTCTGCGTTCTAGGATCCTAGGAACGAGGCCAGAGAGCAGCGGTTGCCTGTCCTGGACCTAAAGTTCAGCAAGTCCAAGGAACCTCATCACCTGGCCAGGAAGGAGGGGTGGAGGTCGGGGATGCTGAGGACCCCGCCAACCCTGAAGGTGTGTGCGGCTCCTCGTGCAGACAAAGCACATGAACCTAAAGCATTGCCATCCATCGTCGCCACCAGCCAGCGGGAGGGCGGCACAGGCCTTCCATCCTCACTTTACGCTCGAGGTCCAGCAGGCTAAGTGCCCTGCCCAGAGTCTACAGTTTGGACGTGGTGGGAATTCAGACTCTGATTTTGATTCCCCATCCAGGTCCCTTCCATACATGGTGCTCCGATGGCCACAGGATGGGCAAGATTGTGGGTCAGGTGGGGGTGGCAGGGCGATGGGCAAAAGATATACCGTGAAAGGATGCAGACCAATGGCCAGACCAATGGCTTCACTGGGTGGTCAGACCAATGGCCAGCTCCCCCAGCCCGTTTCGGGGGTGAGGGGTAGGCTGTGAAGAGACCATTAAGTGTCAGGAACCAGGCCCTATTCCTGCCTTGGAAAAAGGAAAAAAAACAAACTTGAGAAAGCACTGTGGGTGTCACATCTGCCTCTCTGTGTGCAGAGACAGGCACGCTGGTCTGTTAACCAGCAGCTGGCCCCACACCCTGACCAGAAAGGCCCCTCTGTGCCCGCAGCTAAGGGCTCTCCTTTGGAGGGTGGGGAAGGGTAGCGGGCAGAGGCAGGTACTCACCATGATGCCGGTGAGAAGACAGACACCTTTCCCACAGTATGTGTGGGGCACCATGTCCCCGTAACCAATGGAAAGGAATGTGATGGAGATGAGCCACATGGCACCCAGAAAGTTACTAGTTACGTCCTGCTGGTCATGGTACCTGCCAAGGGGAAGACAGGAGTTAGTCGATGGAACTGCCATTTCCCAGAGTAAAGGCTGCGGGCAAATCTGGACAGGGAAGGAAATGAGGCCGTTTGCTGAGGCGGAAGCAGCAGCGATGGCGACACACAGAGATCTCTGTAGATGACTGAAGATGCCCCAACTCTGCCCACCCAGGTCCCGCTTGCAGCTCCCTGCTCGCCCACCCTCCACCACATGCTGGGTCCCAGAGGTAGAATGTTGTGTCATGATTTGCTCCATATTGTAGATGGCCTTTTGGTGCTGGTAAAATAGCTTTGGATGAAATCGTGTAGTAATAAAATTTAGATTTTCGCTCTAAGGCTGACAATCTAAATGTCTGTGGATGTGATTAACTTGAAACTACAGCTCCTGAACAGGAAAAATGTTTTTAAAAAAAACACCAAACATATTTAGCAATTTCCTGAAGGTTGATGGATCCCCAAGACTGGCACCTCCTGGCAACTGGAGGAGGCCCTGGCGGCTTCTCAAGGAACTGTTCCCTGGGGTGCTGCGTTCTCTGCAGAGGGGTGGTCCATACCTCTGAGGCCTGTGGCTGCCCCTCCCTGGAAGGAGCCAGCTGGAACTGTATCATCACCATTCCCCTGCCAGATGCCCATCCCACCCCATTTTTCTTCCCTCCCTTCACCCCCAAACACCAAGGCCCACTGTGTGCCAAGCTCTGTGCCAAGTACTGAAACACAGAGATAAACAGGCCACATCCCTGTCTCAGAGCTCTCAGCCCAGGGCAGGAATCCGTGGAGGATGCGGACATTTGCAGAAAGGTCAGTAAGTGAGTGGAAAAGGTACCTGGGGACAGAAGGGAAAGGACAATGACCTTTGTCTCAAATGTAAGAAGGTTAGTTAAAGGCTTCAGTGTTCCAGGCAGGCCAGGGGTGGGTGTTTCCAGCTGACAGGATGCCTTATGAAAGCCCCACCTTGGAGTGCAGCAAGGTGGGGCTGGTTGCACCATGGGTGGCAGGAAAGGTGGCTGTGGGCCCTTTCTCCAAATGTTCTCCAACAGGACCAGCCTGAATGACACACAAGGAACTCTGCATTTTATCCTGCAGGAACATCACTCCTTGATAAAATCTCCCCATTTGGGAGGCCACTGGGTGGGAAAGTTGAGGCGGGTCTGGGAGATCAAACCATCCTGGCTAGACAGAGCAGAAAGCCACTTAGGAACTCTATCCACAGACTGAGTTACTAAGGAGCATACATGGATCAGTGCACGTAAACACATGTTGCCAAGTCAGAGTCGGGCATCAGTTCATCGGAATGCATTTCTTGGAAGAAGTCAGGTCAGAATGGCGAGGTTGGGGTAGTGGGTAGGGGGGAGGTGAGCCCTGGTCTAGGGCTTGACCAGCCTGACTTCAAGCCCCAGCTCTGCCTTAAGTAGTTCCATGGCTGTAGGCAAGGGGCTTAGCCTCTCTGTGACCCAGTTTCCTTAGCTGCTGATGGAAGGATTAAGGAAAATAATCCACAGTGCTCAGCTGAGAGTAAGTGCACTAAATGTCAGCAGTCACTATTGTTGTTGAGAGGGGCAGGTGCTCTCAGTCTGAGAAACAGTCTACAGAAAAATACAGGGAGAGGATTTATAAGTGCAGTGGGGAGAGGGTCCCCACAAGGGCATGATGAAGACATCTTGAAGTTTAGACTGGAGACCTATTTGATATAGGGATGAAAGGAACCTGCTGTAAGTTGTTGGACAAAGAAGGGACACAAGACACTTGGTATCTGAAATGACTCTTCTAGTAGCTGCATGCAAGACTAACTAAAGAGAGCAGGCCCCAGTCAGTGAGAACTGAGAGAAAGTTTGTAGGTGTCCAAGAAGCGGTGGAGAGCCTTGAATGCTGAACCATGAGGTCTGGATTTAGTTTGCAGCCTCTCTTTCATGTACTCTATTGACTTTGCTGTGCACATAGGTCTCCACAGTCCTCCTTTCCTTGCAAACCCTGAGGCTTAAGTGAGTGTTCCCTGGCTGCTTGGCTGCCCTCAGGACCATGGGCCATCCGATTCATACATGGACTCGGAGGTAACGGGATTAGAGCTCAGGGTAGAATTAAGCATATGGCAGCAAGTAAGCTGTCTTTTCGTAAAGTTGATGTCTGATTTACTGCTTTATTTTTCTCTAAATTCCCTTTTGGGTTTCTTTTTCTTTCACCATATAAAATCCGACCGGTGCTGACTATGTGTGCTGAGGAGAGGAGAAGTAGATCTTGAGTATGTCACTCATTCATTGTTTGCCAGACTTCAACAGCCTCTGTCCTCTGGCGGGGCCTCTAGAAGATGCCGAGATGAATCGGACAGACACCCTACACTCCCATGGCTGGGAGCATCGTCAAGGAGGTAAGACACACATGCGACTCGCCATGCAAGAAGTGATGAGCCAGAGAGCAGGCCTGGTGATTCATACTGTGGGAGTGGGGAGGAGGTAGAAATTATATCCAAACCTATTCACAATTTTAGAGTGGTTTACACTTGTCACAGATTCACATATGAATTTCGTGCTATTTTTTACAATCGAGAATTTTTGGGAAAAAATAGTTCCCTGTTTTTCTTTAAGGACTAAGAATGAAAAGGTGTAGTTTTGGGGGGGGGG